GTTCCTCTGCAGGTTGGCACTGTGGAGGGGATGAAGAGCCGTGTCCTGCCAGTTCCTTCTGTTAGTCCCTTGCATAGAGTGGCGCGGCGGTAGGCTGGAAGACAGAGGTGCTGGTTTGAGGGCACCCTGTCGAAAACCCGGTCCTAAAGGTTACTGCGGATCAGCTGAAGGGATCTGATCCTCAGACACAGAAACTGCAAACGGGCAGAAAATTCACAAGAAACAGTCCTTGTGGAGTAACGGATGCTTTGTAGGAACAATGAATTAGGAATTCATCTGCCTGCCAAGTGTTTCCTCTGTGCACGGGGAGCGATGTTTTGTTGCTGTTTAAACCCTTCCAACGAATGCAGCTCCCTTGCTTTGTGACTGGGCTGGGACTGACGCTCTGTTTGTTCCACAGCGCTCCTGATCGCGACACCACCGAAAGTGCTGCCAAGGAGTTAGAGGTAGGAGATGAAGCAGGTCCACGGGACCTTAGGTGAATGTTAAGCTGAGCAAATCTTGTGTTTGCTGTGGGACTGAGGATACTTTGTCAAACACAGTGTTTCAGGTGAGAGCAGTGGGGAACTTCTCTGGAGTGTCCGAGGGCGAAAAAGCCGATGTAAATGAGAACTGTCATCAACAGGCAGCATTAGTGTAGGAGAGTAATGCTTTTATCTGAAATGTTTCACAGCAGCTACGGGCTGTTAAAATTGGAGAAGCGAAACCTCCTATTTGTCGAGCTGGTTGCACCCCGTTCCTTTCCAGTTCCTGTTCAGATTCATTCTGCAGGAGCCCTTTCCCATGGTTTCGCTCTCAGCCCCAGCCTTGACCGGTGCCTTTAACTCCTCAGCCTTGGCTGGCTGTCGAGCCCTCCTGTTTTTCCAGGAGCCGTGGCAGTCCTGGCGAGCTAGCCTGACAGAGGCGAGCCCAATGCTCAATTGCATGTGCTTTCCTCATAGCTGTGAGCTGGTGGGAGCCGTGGATGTTCTTTTATTGATTCTGTTGCTTTGAGACCAAGCTTGGTGGCAACCGATGAGTTCTGTTGTCGTCTTCTTCCTGAGACAGAAGAAAGCCCTGGCCGTTCCCGAGGCAATGAGGCAAACACACTGCCTGCTTAAAAATGCGCCTCTTACTTAATTGTAAAATATCTTCAGAGCGCAGTAATGGCATTATAAATATTATTGAAGAGAAGGTGCTGATTTGAACGGCTGTGGGAAATTATTGTTTAATTTCTTTTGTCTGTTCCACTTCTGAGAATATTGAAAGGTATTGCTAGAAAAAGTTTCCCATGTGCAAAGCGGGGGTTTGTTGGGGCTGCCTTGCAGTTCCTCTTGTAACTGACTTGGGTCAGCATCAGAGAGAGAGGAGTGTGTTTATTTTTGAGAGAGGTCAATACTGCAGGTGTTTTGCAGGCAAAAAGGAGGCTCCTTTAGTGTAAAGCTTCTTAAATGTAAAAGCACACTTCCATTCTCTGTAGCAATGCTTCTGTGCTGATCGAAGATTAAGATGCTCATTCACTTCAGTGTCTCTGAGTCTGGTAGTGCCGCGGGGCGAAGAAGGGGAGGAGGGGAAGCAAAATCTTTGGATCCTGGTCTGCCATGACTCATGCAAACTGCAAAGTAATTTTACATTTTCCCCATGCTTTGAAGCTGTACTTCACAGTGGAGTTGTGGCTGTGGTGTTAACATTCTTCCGTGGCTTCTCTTTTTGGCCTCTCCAGGAAGCGATTCGAGTAATCCTTGGGAATCTCGATGATTTGCATCCGTTTTCTACAGACCACTTCACTATCTTCCCGTGTATCCTTTCTTCCCTATTTGTAAAAGAAAAGGTTCCGTGGCTTGTATCTGTTGGGCATTGCTTCCTTTGACATTCGTGCCTGGTGGCCTGCAGGTCGTTAGCTGGAGTGCGGCTCCTTTGGGCTTTGCGGTTTTACGTTAGCTGAAGATCCTCCTCAGCTGTTGCCTTCACCAGAGACAGAACGGATGTGAAAAGTGTTTTGCAGTGTTTTCCGCCGAGCACCGCTGTGTTCCAAGCCTGTTGTGGCCAGAGAAAATGAATGTGTATATACAAAGTTGCAGGCAGCCAAGGTAATGCGATTGCAAGCAAAGCTGGTGCATCGTTCCCAAAGGTCAATGAAACGTGAAACGCTCCTTTCAGGCTCAGCAGCGTTGGCCCGCTGGTAGAGAAAACCGTGGTAGTTTTCTTTGAAGGTACATCAGGATTGAGTATCGTAGTTGCTGTAGTGCAAGGGGTTAAAAAGAAGCTGCTCTCCTGAGGCTCTTGTTGAAGAGGCGTCAATTATCTTTTTGCCTCCCGTTTTGAACTGTGAACTTAATGTCACGATGGTACTCCTGTGAATCCTCCTCCTTTTCCATTTTTAAACTCCTTTGTAAAAGAATTTCTTTTTAGGTAGGAAAGCTGATGAGGTTTTAGTCATAGGGTTGGGAGGGCCCGGTGCGTTGTTTCTTGTGGGAGAATGTCAGGGCTGCAGCCACACAGAGTTAAGGAAGCAGCACACCATGAATAGCGGTGACTGGTGGGAGAGGATCACCTGGATGAGCGTTTCCTGTAACGTGTTAGAGGTGTTTTTCCCAGAGTTCATACCGCCAGGTTGTACTTGCTCCCTTACACACGTGTGCAGCGTGGTGCGGCTTTTGCAGCTTTAGAGGAAGACGCTGTCAGGACTCCTGCTCCTTTGCAATGTTAGTGCTGTGTTCTTAAGCCTTACCGTCATCCTCAGATTTGAGTAAATGGGAGAGAGTATCGAAGATGAGATTCAGGCATGAGGGTGCCCATCTTGTGCCTTATCCCTACATCTGCACGATGTATCTGGAACTCAACTCGTTTCAGCAAAGCGTATCCTGTGGTAAGTCTGGAAACATCCATGATCTCCGTCTCGCTTTTCCCTTTCCCTTCTTCTGTTGTGTCTTGGAACCAGAGGGAGCAAACCAGCCTGCAGCATGGCCATCCCATGGATTTGAAGGAGAGCAGAACAGTCTGTTCCCTTTTGTCCTGTGTTGCTTTTCTAAAATTTCCTGGATTGCTCTTGGCCTTTTCAGCCACTGCCCGCCCCTCGGCTGGTGTTTTTATGAAGCGATGCCCAGTGGCTCCCAATCTTCGTTCTTCAGTGTCAGCAGCTAGGCTGGAGCCAGCACGTGTATATGGAACGCGCGTTTTTCTTCCTTGGGCTTGACTGCCTTTGTTGACATTGACCTTCACACTCCTTGTTTCTGTTTCCCTGAAGAAAGAATGCGTTTGTTTTTCTAAAGGATGACAGCAATGCCGTCTTTTGTGTAATTAGTAAATGTGGTCACCTCCGTAGCGTCTTGTTTTCCAGGTTTTCTGTGAATTCCATGAACAGCCTCAGGCCCCAACTGAGACCTCTGTGGGACTCTGCATTTAACCTCCTCTGCTGTGCAAATGGAGTATTTCTTCTTCTGTTCTGATTATTGGTCCCTGGGAAAAGCTGCTGGTTTCTCTTAGGACTGCTTAGTGGATATTCTGGTCCCCTTTATACAACCAACAAGGAGCCCTTTCTTAGTCGCGTCCGTTTGCGTGCGTGTAGCCTCCCTACCACAGATGCCGTGTTCAGAGGTAAAAACTTCTGGACGTGGAGGAGAATTCACTCACCTCCCTGTACACCTCGCTCCTGTATTTCGTTGCCCTCCCCAGGCAGCTGTACGACGTTTCTCTTCTCAGACGATGCACAGCATGACGTGCTGTTCCTTCCAGGCACCGATGTTTCAAGTTTCTGTTGGCAGGGATTTTTCTTCAGGAAAGCAGATCCCACACACCAGGGAGGAGCTGGCCAATATTCTCTGGAGGCCGTGCTCCAGATGCCCTTGCATCTTCTGCCTGTGCCCAAAGGCACAGAGCGATGCCAACAGTTCTTTGGTTCCTCCTGCTCTTCTGGAGACTCCCTTGGCTTTTTCAGGAAGAGCAGTTGTCCCCATCCCATCAACATGTATTCATAGCCAGGAATCCCGGTTCTGAAAGAGCTGTAGCTGCAGTTGTTCAATCTCAGCGTATCATATGGTTTCCAAGTGTTTGTCTTGTCCTTGGAAGGCGAGGTGCAATGCAAAATGTACTTTTCAGTTGGTTAAAGGAAGTCCAGTCACCACATACTCACTGAATTGTATGTTACCTCTGTTACAGGTAAAGAAGTAAACAAGGGCAGTGGTGAGCTTGTAAGTTGTGTCTGTGTGTGTGTTTGTTTTGTTTTGTTTTTTTAAAGTTGTATTCTAAGTAGTCTGGAGAAGCACAATATATTTAGAGGCAATGCTGTAGTTGTTCTGTCTCTAGGCATCAGCCAGGCAACACAAGGTGGCACTGAGTTCTCCCCTAGAGCCACCCAAGTGGGGAGAAATCTTCCTGTCCATCCCACCAGACTTTGGATGAAGTCCTGCCTTGGGACCCGAGCGCCCCACTGGCCTCGGTGAAATGTGTTTTCTACAAGTCTGAGCTGAGCTGGCCAGTGGTTTTGTCACTGCGAGGGTCTGGATGAGGCCAATATCGCAGAATAATTAAGTCGTTTCCTAGGTGCTGTATCTGTCACAAACAGCAAAGTTCAGCTTCCTTGGAAAGATTTTGTTTAAGGAGAGCTCAGGCTCGGTTTGTTTCCAACACGGGCAAGTGTCTGAAGACGGAGTGAATTAGTGAAGATGTCCCGTCCAAATTCCCCCAAAGAAAATCCCACTCTCCCGGCTAGCATTGCACTCACACCAGACAACGCTAATTGTGTTCCTGGGCCCTCCTCCACAGACGCAGCACAGAGGGTGTCCTGGAAAGTGGCGTCTCTTGTTTAAACCTGTCGAGTAGAATTCTCTGGACGGCCTCTCAGTGCTCTCTTCTCTTTGAATAAGGCAGCTAATCTTTTACTCCAGAGTAATTCTTTTTAGTTTTCACTACATAGACGTGAACAGCGTTGTGCAATGTGAAGGTATATTAGCTCTGAATTTTGTTCTAAAATAGAGAAGTCAAACCCAAATTTTGTCAGTACCAAGTCTGCAGTGTTTTGAAGGTCAAGAGACGAAATGAAGCGTCAGGAAGCAGCGGCGTGGTGAAGAGGAGACGAGTGGAAGTGGGAGCAGAGAGCTCATGCCCAGAGCCGGGAATGGGCAGGTCAGTTGACTACAAAATAGCCTTCCAGGGCACACAGCAATATTGTTCATGTCCCTTGTACCTTCCTCGTACTTCACTCCTGTGTAATCCTTTGCCCCATTTGTCTCCTTCCTTCTCTTCCATCGGTGACAGAGTCTAAGCAGCATTGCCCGAATGTGGAGAAAGGTTGTCACATGCTTCCAGGTTCCCATGCCATTAACTAGCGATCTTCCCGCTTCTCTCCTTTGCGTTAACGTTATCTGTGGAATCACGGCGGGATGAGAACTCGGCACCTGGGCTTGCACGCCCGAGCCAGGGATGAGAAGGGAAGAACCGGGAGCAGTTTTCCAGCTGCATCCCAGCCTGTTTGTTGGAGTCGGCTGATGAAAGCTGCCTGTCAGCTTGAGGCTGAGATCTGTGCCTGTGGGTTTCACAGAATCATTGAGGTTTTCAGGACCTTTGACGTCATCGAGTCCATGCCCTCCTGCTCAAGCAGGGGCAGCCAGAGCAGATTGCCCAGGACGTGTCCCCTGAGGCTTTGAATGGACTCCAAGGGTGGAGATGCCACAACTTCTGTGGGCAACCACAGTTGCAGTCAAAAAGTTTTGTCTTGTGTTCAGCTTTAATTTTGTGTTTTGCAGCTTGTGCCCTTTGCCTCTTGTCCTGCCAGAAGGTGCTGCTGAGGAGAGCCC